TAGCACGGAGCATTATAAGGACTTACTCCCTGTGTGTTCCCCGTTAGGAAATTGTATTTATATGGAAATCGAGCTGAAATATGCCTCCATCACCAAAATAAATGTGTTGGTTTCACATAAGCCTGGGGAGTCTAAAATTTTGAAATGTTTATCTTCTAATGTTCTTTGAAGAACAGTAAAGATACAAAGTTATAGATATCTTCACATCTGGCGACACTAGATGACGTATAAAGCGTACAATGCATCCGAATTCAACTCATACATTAATGAATGTTCCTGTCACGAGGAAAATAGAAATAAATTAGTCACGACTTAACATTTAAAATGTTTAATTCTGAACTTAGGCCAAGCATGACAGTTTGAAATCTTCAAGATGATAAGAGTCAACCAAACTCAGGAAATCGCGGGGGGGGGGGGGGTTATTATTGAGGAAAGGGAAAATCCTTCCTACGGCCCCTTGCAATTCGCAACAAACAGCTACGCTGAAGACAATCAAATTTGCATAATTTGTAACTGTAGCTGTTTAAACCATAAATTAGCCACGAATACGGTATTTCAACATTGAAACTCAAGCTTCCACAACTACAACCATTACATTCCTAAAACGTGTTTTAATATTATCCTCCCATCTATGCCCTGGTCTTCGGAGTGGTCTCTTCCACTTGGGTTTTCCAGTCAGAACTATGTACCCATTTTTAATTTCCCCATGCACCGCCCACTTCACTCTCCTAGATTTGATCACACTAATCATATTTAGTGAGGAGTTCAGACCATAAAGCTCTTCATTTTTTCCCCCAGCCTGCTATCACATCATTCTAATAAAACACTAACAAAACGAAATTAGATTCACGCTATGAAAATCTAACATTATAATTTTAAATGTTGTTTTATATCAGTGTCGAGTTTGGACTCTAAACCACAATGGCAGAAGATAAATTGAGTTTTTGGGAACAGGTGCAGAGTACAAATTTTAAACCTAACAGAGACGAACGGATAAAATTACGTCAATAGTTGTTTTATTATTTACTTCAATATGTAAATTCCCGGGGGTAAAGTGCGGCCCGAGGCGTAATGCTGACCACTCAAGAGTAGGAGCTATACCTCCACTCCCCCAATGCGCCTACATGGCGCGTAGTGGGAAAGCTTAGCTTATGTAAATCCGGCGTAAATTCCATATTGTAGATTTACGGCATATAAAAAAGAACTTTACGAGCATGAACGAGATGTTTCATAAGCAAAATTCAGTAGACATTTCTCACCCATGTCCCTCCTGATTCGCTACTAGATGGCTCTAGTAGAAAAATCAGGATTGAGTAGAAATTGTGCAGAGTCAGTGGGCTGGTCACTCACTACTCATAAATGCACACTTCAAAGACTAGGAAAACCTCCAAAAAGGAGGTAGCGAAGACCCACAACTGTGTTGTAGAGCCAGAGAACAATAACATATAGCAGTGGGCACATAAAGAGAGCTGGGTGACACACGTAGCATGCATGGGAGTGACGAAAATTTCACACAAAATGAAGGTGAAAAGCATGTAAGGAAGTAAGGCTAACCATTTTAAGACAAAGACGTAAATGAGAGCATAAATATTACTGTGTGTCCGGCAGAAATATAGTGTGTGTGAACAGAGGATACCATAAAAATCTGATAATTTGTTTACCGGCAAGACCACTATCAGCTTCTCAATAACTCTGTACCATAAGAAGTTAGACGTCCTTATAAGCATTGGGGTAATTAAAATTTGTATGTTCGATATAAAATCAGAAAGAGATAAAGAAGTAAAAGAAAGAAAATACAACAAAAGGGTGAAATTTGTTGAAATAGAAACAGTGTCTTGTAATTATGGCACAACGATGAACGCGCGACAGAAGCAGAACAGGAGTTACATAAAACGGGAAAATACTGGAATATCTAACAAGAAACTTTAAGATATGTTCATATCAAAGTCTAAACAATAATATTTGTACAAACGTTTCGAATTAAAAAGTTTCTGTAACTGTACGTTAAATTATAATGCACAACTGTAAAACTTCACTTAACAAACAAATATTAAACTTCGCCTATAAATGACTTTCACTGCCCAGTTACGCAACCATAATTCGAGAAAGGAGATGTTAATCTTTCCTCCATCTTCAGACACGTCTTGAAGCGCAGAATTGCGTAACAAATACAAAACTTTCAGAACACGCAACCGCAAAACACAACTAGCCTCCTCTATAGTAATTATTTAACCTATAATTGCTACTAATTAAAAATCGGATTGCTATCGCATTTCTGGATTCCCCACTTCTTACATGCATACATTTGAATACAAGAACAATGTAATTCCAAGAACCGGGCTTAAAAGTGAAATAATGAACCCAATATTCAATATTCTTCTGTAATATTAAATCTAATTATATTCGGGCAATATGTTCTCCAGTTGATTCATGCGTATGCTGTGCTTTCTACAATAGGGCAATGACGTAATTAACGAACTTCTGAACAACTTTACACAATACGCCCATATAGCATCGAAGGAGAAATGAGAGAATGTTCCACTTCCCAACGAAGGGCGAACTCGTGACGGACATTGGCTATTATATTTACAGTAATTCAACAGCTGTACACATATTTTCTGTGTCGATGTTGGTCTCCTAGGTTCTAAAGCCGTGTGGACTTGTAACTGTCTGCAAGTCCAGACGGCGACAGAACACGGTAGACCAGCAATGACATTTTCACCGCCGCGAAAATCTACCATCTCGCAAGTTTTGTCTGCAGCTGAGACAAATGGCACATACTCCAGTCACTAAACAGGCAAGTGTGGAAACAGTTATTGGGTTACGATTAGGTTAGGAATAGCGCAGTTATTACAATACAAACAGAAATTTCTAAAATATTGAGCATCTGACTGTTTCAGGCCTTGAGACAAAAGACCCTAATCCTTCTGGGTTCAACTCCCAGACATCCATCCAAAGTTGATTCCGCAAATGTCTCCATCTTCCACCAGTAACAATCGCCCCTAGTCCGAGCACGTCAAAGCCTTCAGCCAAGACAAGAAATTCTTTGGCTAAGCAAATCCCCAGCTGCAGTCAAAGCACAGTCTTGCAATACCATCCATGCGTTTCGTATTTAGGAATGGTTTAACACTACGTTTGCGCAAAAATCCGCCGTTAATCAGCTTTTTTGGTTTCTTCATTGGTTGGTTGGTTGGTTCCTGCTTCAATGACATGAGCTATTACATTCAACTAGAGCAGTGTTCCACAGACGGTGGACTACCACAAGGTTTCGGATATGCAGAGAATATTTACAAGAAATTGTAAATTCGCTCGTAGTAGCTCGAAAAAAGACAAATCTCATCTTTCGTAATTAGAATCCGTAATATTAACGCACAAATACAGGTTCATCAACGACAGTTCAATTCAACATGTTTTATATTTTGTTTTCACGCTGAATTCTCATAGGGCAAAGATTTTATGGAGACGTTTATGGCTACGTGTAGTTTCTCACCCCCTTTTCGCGAGGTGAAATATCGCGGTGTGCCGTCATGCGTCCTAGACAATCGAAAAAAAGGTTGCAGAACACTGAATTAGAAGGTTTTTCGTTCTGATGCCCCGGTATCAGCTGCCCATTGAATGCACATATTGGTGATTCGTACTTACCGTCATGCAGATAACCAGTCGCGTTGCTGGCGGGTGTAGGAGTGACGGCGGATGGTGGGTGACCACTGCTTGTACCACTGCTGGCCACCTTCTGGTCTCCGCCTGTCAGAGAATGGTAGCCACCCAGGAACTCGCTGAGATCGGGCACACACACCGACTCGTACAGGTTAGGAGGAACGTTCTCGAGGGCTGACCGTTCTTTTTCCACGTCTGAAACAGCGACCGCGACAAGTGTTGGGTACTCATAATCATATTCCGTTTCATCTGGTCCATTGCCCATCATGTTTAAGACGCAAAAGTCTTCATTTAATGTAATGGTTGTCAAAGTAGAATCTGTTTTGAATGAAACTGGTAACGGAGTAAGAATCTCTCTTAGTTAGGCCGTTTTGTACCAACAAATATCATCCACCCCCATTTCTCACTTATCCCCTTCGGCTGAGCAACGGAACTGACAACCTCATCTCTTCCACGGTAATTGGCTGAAGTTTAAATTAAGTTTGTAAACACCAATTTTATTTCCCAAGGGTTCTAATGATGGCGTACAATCTAGATCGTCGGGGCCTTAGACTTTGTCCATCGTCTGATGCCATAAAATACACAACGTTTCGAGGACCGAATCTGCCCTCGTCTTCAGGAGTGGCGAAGGGGAAGGGCACCTTCTTTGAAAGGTCCGTTAAAATGAGCTAATCTCAGTCACTACATTAGCTACCTTACGATTTATTATTTTCAAAATTCTAGCAGAAGTTCATAGCTTATCAGAATAAACAACATGGACGAGACATGCAGTACGCTTAAGATAGGCGAGAAATAAATGTTACAAAATTTTAAATGGGAAATCTGAAGGGAAAACAAAACTTGGAAGACTTAAACGCAGATGGAAGGATAATATTATTGCACAAAAGGCAGGGTAATTGATGACTAGGGGTAAATTCCTGTGAGCCTGCACATGCATGGCCTTCGGATTTGCGCATAATCGCAAGCAAACAAATTTTCTTACATCCACACAGCTCAATCTGACCAACTATTAAATTCTCAACAATTCCTCTGCTTCACTGGATTCTAACTTAAATGTAACCGACATTCGATCATAAAATCAGTTCAGACGTAAATTGGCTGTGCATTAAAAAGGTACAGAACAAAACACCATCGGCTTCCCAAGAGACGCGGCATTCTATTCTCCAACCCTGCATTCGACCACGTAACTACTTAGCGTGACGTCTAAGTATGGGTTTGCGCCCTTGTTAGTTTCTTCTTGGTTTACTTAAAGGCGCATTTAATAACTCAGATTATATACTGTCGAATGACAGGACGATTAATGAACAAGACAGAAGCGGTGTATTCCATGTTGGAATACGAGAATGCATTCTTTGCAAATTATAAATTATTAATAAACTATTATGTCAGGTATCTCACTTTGACAACTTGGGTTTCAAACTACACAAATCATGCGCTACTACAATAAAATGATTTCTAATTAAAACATTTCGATTTACTGAGCCGTTTGCAGTGAACTATCCCCAATGTTAATCAGAGATTTATTTATAGGCGTATTTTTTAATGTAAACTCAACAACGTTCAGTATTTCATAATAATAAAGTAATACCTGTGACTGAGAAAAACCTTGCAGAAATACTGTGGTCTATTTAAAACACCAAACTGCCAAAACTCTGACTTAAATCCAATAGGAAAAAGAGTTCCAATCTGGAGGCCACGATACTGTATTTCATGAAAGCCTTTTCATTAGGCCTATTATTATTTATGTCGCAAATAAATCAACGTACTCACTCATACCTAAATGCAGGTATTTTTGTTTTGTAATTTCCTTCTTGTGCCCCTCCCACAGTATGATGTATCTATCATTCAGCAAACTACAAACACCGCCTATGACAGGAACTCGATATAAGCTATTGGAAACACACAATCCATACTTCGTCCATTCATTTGCATCCAGTGTTAACAAGTGATAGTGACTCCGGAAGTAAGACCTACACGTTATTGTCAAATTTCCTCTCATTACAATTTCACTACAATATTGGAAGAGTTTGGCATTGACGATTAAAAAGCTATTGGCTTGTTTGTTACAAGAGGAATCAGGATATCCTGGCCCGCCAATATGCAGGGGATGTCGCCGCACTGATCCCCTTCCCGGACACCCAACATCCCCTTCCTGGATGAAAACGTTTTCTATTACAATACGCTGCACCAGGATATGAGGGGGCCTTAGCACGGGGGGGGACTACGTTGCGAGCCCAGATTTAGTCCGGCATTGCTACAATCCGGGTGCACTCCGACGTGTGTCAGTGTTCTTTGTGTAGTGTAACCAGATTTTGTGCCAAGGCGAGAAACTGGAATGGTGGCAGTGTCTGAAGACAAGCAACGAGGACTGATGACCTCTTCGCGGAAGGCAATGTGAGTAGACGCTGTGTGGTAAAATGTAACTAGAAAGTGGAAACAAATGAATAACCGAAAAAGTTAAAGGAAAATCGTATCAAAATGATAAAACCCAGTTCATCTCTAAATATTACTGACGATGGTTTTGAATTACTCATTCGAATTTTTTGGAGTTTTTTTTCCTTAAAAAAAGTACATTTCGCGAGATGGCACTTCCCCCCGTTCTCAGGAGAACCTAGTTCGCGATAAAACTCCATTTGTTAATAATAGTATTACTTATCCTTTCGTCTACAACTACTTTAGTCAGTATGTTATATCATGTCTAAAAAAACAATATTTTCGTCAGAATAAATATCGGCCGATGGGTAACTTAAGAGTTACCGCAAGGATCATGGCAGTCTTAAAATTAGGTAATAGATCGATCGATCGATCGATATGGTACAAAAGCAGGAACCTTAAAAATATCGATACCAAATTTTGTCTATTAAAATTGAAAAGCTGATAATATAAAGTGTGAAATATTTTCTCAATAAAAACCTTGCGGGAATCGCAAAGCGTGAAGTGCGTGCTTGCATATAAGCCTAGCTCCAAATTAGCCTTTCGAGAAAGCGCAAAAGAAGCCCTTCCTTAAGGCTCGCATTACATGGATAATATTTGTGAAAGTTTAAGGGGGAGATGACACAACCACAGAATCCTAACACGAACGAAAGTAATAACAAATGCATAAATAATTTTGGCAGGAAATTCTGAAGGAAGAAAAACACTTGGAACATTTAAGCCAAGATGAAAACACAATATAAAATGAAAATTAAGAAACAAGTTGATGAATTTTCGGGTTAAATAAAATACGGAAAATTTCTTGCCCAGATAAGCGAATCACTGTTTCTCAAAAAGGGCTCTGCTCCACAGGTCGAAGCACAACAGAGTTAAATATACCGCCAAGGACACTCCCCAAACACGATTATAGACAAACGTTACGGAGACCGGCGGCCGGTTCTTATATGAGCAAAAAACCGCCACTGAATCAAAGACATCCAAGTGAGGTGTCAGGTTCTCACGGCGGCGAGTACGAAGATAAGTCTTCTGGGTTCTTGTTGTGTGCAATCTGGTAGACGTTTAACGGCGCTTTAGATGTGATTGCTGCTTCCATCATCAGGTCGATGAGGGCAGCAGCAAGCACCTCCGAAACGTCGGTAAAATTCTACAAGACTACACAGCGCAACAATAGGGAATACAGCCACCTTCAAAGCAATTCAGGCCACGCCCTTAATCGCTACTTCTTTCAACATTCGATTTACATCTACGATTATTCTACCATCTACGCGCAGACCTCCCAAGAGGTCTATTCCATTCAGAATTTCTGACTAAATGGTGTATGGATTAACCGTAAAGTGTCGCTTATAAAACTCGTTTAATGCTAATAACTATTATTTCTCGTAGAATTACTACTTTCACCAGATTCAAACATATCTGTTATTAAAATCGGGAATTATGAGAATATAAGATTAGATCGAGTTGTTTATTTCTTATCAAAAATCAGCCTGGAAAAGGCTCCACTGGTTTCACTGAACAGATCAACGTAGCAGTAAAATGTAGTATGCACATTGTAATGACAGGTCGCACGCATCTCTTTCCAAATTCGAAAATTTACGATTTCGACGTTTCGGCATTCTCGGGTTTTCAACCGCACGGAAATACAGCATTTGGTGGGAAGGTGACAGCGATTAATTACGTCATGTGTATGCGGAGGTGGCATATTTTAAAGAATCATCATAGCATTAGCATAGCACCGAGAGGAAAACCACAAGAACTTATAGTCAGTATAGTCGGTATACAGTCCGAAATTCGGACCTAGTATCCCTCGATGACGAAGCAGCAGGTGTACCAACCACTACTCCATGACGATCGCAAAATAATATAATTTTACCAGGAACTGAACGCCTGTTATACAATACCCAGGTGAATGTTTGCTCTGGTCTTCGTGTTAGGCTAATCATTCTCAGTGATAACGCTAGATAGCAAAAACTTATTATTTTCTAAGTGATGCTACCATGAGGAAGCTTTCATAAGTGCTACTAAATCTGTTTATGGAATAGTTGAAATAACGTAGCACGTAGCACGTGGAAACAAATATAATTTTCATCTTTGTTTTAAGTTAAAAAGGATGGGAGAAAAATGACCTACGCGAGAAAGGATGGAAGGAGATAACACGAAAGGTATAAAGATATCAAAGTCAGACTGAAATGACAAAGATACCAGAGAAAAAATTGTCCGTTGAATCTCATCATTACAATGCAGCTGTTCATATTTATCGACAGATCAAACAAATTACATTTTCTAGCCATCGACTTTTTTGCTTGACTTAAGAGTTGCTTTTAATATGTACAGAGCCGAATTCCTTTAAATTTCAGCGCTGTTCCCCAAGATACATCTATTTCTGGATCCATATGATTGTCAGAAGAGATAGACACGTTGTTTACCGATAATCTCGTATTTCAACAGGAGCAATCACCCCTCTTTTACAGTAAGCTATTCAAAATTTGAGCACGCACGACGTACAGTGACGCGCAAACATCCCAGAAATATTTTTATACAGAGTAAAAAGGGTAAAAGATACAAAATACAAAGATGCACTTCCTAAGACGGGTATTGTTAAGTAGAACGTAAGTCACTTTGGTGTACAACACTCCACCGGCACTGTATTAGTGTACAAAGAATTAAATCAGATCAACGGCCGTGGCTGAGATATTAAAATTATTTCGGCCACGTGACAAAATATATGTCAGGACAATACAATCAACAACGTCAGTTCCTAACAA